TTATAACATTTTTTTTAAGATATTTTGAATTTTATGACAAATCACTAAATTAATTAAATTGTAATAAAAATCGACTTACATCGCAATTTATCCATTAATTTCCCAGCACATAATGTTGCCAGTGCTACTTTTATTGAAAAAACTCTAATTTTTCCCACATTTTCACTATAAAAAGAAAGAACAATAATTATATTATACTATTCTCATTTATGATAACAAAAAGAAGCAAAGTATTTCTGCTTATCTTATTTACAATACAGATCTATAATATAAATTAGACTTACACAGTAGCATATGCCGCCAAAAGCCAATTTAAAAGCAAACTGGAGCACACATCTACATGTGTTTGTTGAGTAGGTGGGGCTCTCTTATTAAGACTATGATACAATGAACACAATAATGTTTCTAATCTTGCCACACTAAGCTCATTTGATGATTCCATTGTATGTAAACCCTGTTCTCTAAATGCTTCTATAACATTCCATATATCCACTGTATGTACTACAACATTTTTTTAATATAATTCCAGATAATAAAAGTTTTAAGTTGCTTTACTATTTTTTCATAGCCTAAACATGAACTGCTTATTATGAAAAATTAAACAGACACAAAATCAAGATACATACAAAAACATCACAGAGAAAGCAATAATTTAAATGGTAATGATTTTAGTTAGAACACACATGTTGTTAAATAAATAACAAGTATTTACAAGTAAAATATTAATTTTAACAATCAAACAATGTTATTAAAATTATATAAAAGGACACTTACAGCTAACTTTTTTTTGAATGAATCGTAATTTCACAGCTGTACGATATGAAGCAAATCTGATTAAATCAAAGTTATGGGAACTCATTTCATGTACTAAAGCTAAACGATGGTCTGATGACCCAGGAAGACCATCTGAGGACTGCATTTCCCCTAAAAAGAAATATTTGTACATTGATTTAAATAGTTATAAATTAATAAATAGCAATCAAATTTAGTTTTAATAACATTCTTCATTAAATAATATCGTACAAAATTGCACATAATGAAATTAAACTATAAACTTAAAATCATTAATAAATGCACAACGATACCAAAGAAAATAATTATTCTTACCTTGCTTAATGGATATCGTTGTCTAAATTTTAAATATAACATTAATTGTTATTAATTATTATTGAATCTTAAAGTTCCATAACATTATTAACAACAGTTTTCCAAACGCCATCTTCCTAAACTGTCAAAATTCGTCAAAGCTGTCATGTGTCATGAAAGTAAGTTACCGTAGATGTGCAGATTCACCGGAAAGATAGTAATCTCAACAACAGTGGCGTAGGTATCTGTCGGTAATAGAAAAAAAGCTGTCAAATTACGATATTTTGTAAGGACGTACTCTTACTTTTTTATATTTTGTGAGACTAGTGTAAGATTAATAATGTTCAATTAAGGCAACTATTTTACATACATTATAATAAATATTCTATAATATTTCGACCCTAAAAATAATTTTACTTTTTCGTTATCGTAAATGACTATTTCTATACTTACGTTCCGCCTCTGATAAATAATTTAAATTTTGGTTTAAAAACGACTATGAGCGAATTTATCCGAATAATGTCCGATTAGTTTTTAACTAGCCAATAAATAGCTCAAGTGACAATATGATGCAACTGGATTGGTTTGTTTAAAATACCGTCGAAACTGCTTTCATGTTGTAGGTTGTAGAAATTGTCATTAGAGTGACTTTAAAACCGTTGCATGTGAGAAAGAGATTTGAAAAATATTTAAACTTTGTTTTATATTTATAATTTTTACAAATCTACAAACGGATTTTAAATATAATGTAAGTATAGTTGTTGAACTTTAGAGCAGTTTATTTTACAACTGTAGGAAATGTAGTAAGTTTGGACATTTAAAGATAACGGTTGAAAATATGGCGAGCTTTCTAAAATCTTTATTTTTGAAAAATATTTTTTTTTAAGACAATACTAGGGGCTTAATTTTACATTTTGTTTCAATTTCATCTGCAGATGGCGTCTAGAATAAGAAATTTAGAAAATAGCACTTTAAATCGGGAAAATATACAACGTTTCCCAAGTAAAGTGGCTCATCCTGTGAAACCAGTTGTTGCAAAAAGGACCGCATTGGGAGAATTAGGGAACAAAATACATGTAAAACAAAACCAAACATCCAACACACTGAAAAATGTTGACTTAAAAAAAAATACACAGATAAATTTAGAGAAGAAATCCTCTCAAGTTAGTTTATTGGATAAAAAATCAGCACTTAAAAAAGATGTTAACGCTCAAGTAAAAGACTTAAAAGGGGTGAAAAATGCTGAAGCAACAAAACAAAAAAATGTGATCAAGGATATAGTTAAATCATATCATTTGGAAAATAGAGAAAACATAAATCTTAAACAAGCACTGCTAATTAGCACCAGAACAGAGGTAAAGAAAGATGAAATTTCGTACTCAAGGCAAAGGCTGACAAATATAGTAGATGCAGATGTAAATGATAAGAATGATCCACAATTAGTAAGCAATTATGTTAAAGACATTTATGCATATTTACTTGAATTGGAACTAAAATGCATGATTAAAGAAGACTTTTTGGATTCACATGCAACAACACCAAGAATGAGATCCATTTTAGTTAATTGGATGGTTGAAGTTGCAATAAGTTTTGGATATTTGCTTGAAACTTTGCACATGTCTGTGGCAATAGTAGATAGATACCTTCAGCAAAACAAGAAAGTGGACCGTGAAACTTTACAGTTAGTGGGAAGCACAGGAATGTTGATTGCTGGTAAATATGAGGAATTGTATTGGCCAGAAGTGCAAGAAATTGTATACATTTGTGATGATATGTATAGCAGGCAGCAGGTTTTAGCAACAGAAAGAGAAATTATAAAGAAACTTGAATTTGATTTCAGTAGGCCATTATCAATTCATTTCCTAAGACGATACAATAAAATAGCTGGAGTAACAGCTGAAGAACACTCTGTAGGGAAATATTTCCTTGAGCTATGCTTACTTGAGTATAATTTATGCCATTATAGGCCTTCTTGTCAAGCAGCAGCTACATTTTGTTTAGTACAAGCAATTTTTAATGACTGTACTGATCCTTCCACTTTTTGGACTGAAACTATGATATATTACTCTGGCCATGAATACAGAGCTTTTAAATGTATAATACCAAAGCTTGCTGAAACTGTCATGAAAATGGAAATATCAAAATATCCAGCCATCAGAAAAAAATATTCAAGTGCCAAATTTGGAAAGGTCAGCTTACATCCAAGGCTGAAAGGAGAAGTTCTAAAAGAAATTAGTGGAGAGCAAACGAAATAATGTTCATGTGATATTTTTTGTATTCTTACAATTAACTTTTAAAATATTTCATGACAACTTGTGTAGAATATTTGACCTTACATTGTTATATATAATTCTAATAATTAAAAAAATGAGTTCATATACATTTTTATATACCAGTATTTGTAGTTATTAATTCATATACCTATTTTAAGTTAATCTGTACATTTGAATGTGTTTTATTTACTAATGACTGTTTTAGACTTTAATTATTCATTGTACTATAAGAATACTAAATAATAAAAATAAAAGGTTGACTTTAGGGAACTGTAGCATATCATTTAAAGCACAGGATTTTTAAGTTAGCCCTTATCCTACTAGTACTCTATCCAATTTTTATTATAGTATCATATCAGCAGTCCTAAAATCTTTTTCTAAACTTACATTTAACAAGGAGATTCTCCTGGGCAAACATCGCGAAAATGATAATCCTTCCATATTTTTTTGGACGATTTTTACGGAATGCCGAGGAAAACTATTAGTTTCTCTTCACGTTTTTATGCGTGTGATTGGACTGTAATTTATTGCCTTCCTCAAAGATCTATCTTTTGAATAATAATTTCATTTAATAACATTTAAATTCTATAATATTTTATTATACAAATTCATGCTAATCATGTGGAAAATAACGTCCTTTTTATTTAATACTTACTGGCAATTTATGTACATTAACGTTCACGGATTAACAAGAGAAAAAAAAATTAAAATCCAAAAAACAGCGACCCTGCCAGGATTCGAACCTGGAATCTTCTGATCCGTAGTCAGACGCGTTATCCGTTGCGCCACAGGGCCATTTACTGATAACACACTTACAATACCATATTAAACATTTAATTTAATTATACACTTAAATTTTTAAATATTAATGAAATGTTTTATTTGTAACATTTCTTCCTCAGTTAATGTCAATAAATCTGTGGAATGTTTCTTTAAATATCAATTAATAATAAGCTGAGACTTGAATTTGTTACTAATGATTGTAATAGTAATGTTCTACAAGATGTTAGGGTAATTCTTTACATTAGTTGACATTGGAATTGAGACATGAAGTTTAGTCAGGTAGGTAGTACTGACCAAGTGAAGTAGTGTAGTAGTATTTACTAGAATTTTGTTTATTATTTGTTTAAAAATGAATGTGAGTGAAAAACAGGCCCTTAAAGTTTTCTTAATCGGAGGAAAATTCGGTAGGTACGGCCCTGGCTTCAGCCTTCCGTCAGCTGTTCCCGCCAAACATCGTTTGTCCTAAAACATATCTTCCTAACATTATTCTAATGTATCAGCCCGCCTTCGGCGGGCAGGGGCATTAAACAAACTCGAGTCTGTCATACATCTACCTAACTAAACAATGACGTCATCAATGCATATTTGGCGAGAACAGCTGACGAAGGGCTGCAGCCAGGGCCGTACCAATCGAAATTTCCTCCGATTAA